TTTTCCATACATTTCAATACACTGAAATGTATTGAAATGCTATTAATCCCTTCCAGCCCCCCAATCCCCTTCCCCATTTTTTTGTTAAGTGTTTTTAAATAAAACAACAACATGCCGCCATCTCATCCACCGCTGTCTTTCTCCTCCTGCGGCCATGAGGGGTGCCACGGAGGAGATAGAGGTCTTTGATGGCGGGGCCTCAAGCAGCTGTAGGGGTACCAGCAGCCCCTACCTGCCCACCTCAGAGCCTGATGGGGCAGCCACTGCGACACCACACCTAGTATTTGCTAGGGGCTCCTGCAAGGCTCAAGGTGGTATAGGCATCTGAGATCATGGAGCTGCTCGAAGTCTCCTTGTCAAAGCCCCCCAATTCCTCAGCAATATCCCTTCCTTTCCTCCTGACTCACTTCAGGCTCTGTGGTGGGCTGGTAGGCACTGAGCAGGCTCAACATGGAGAGAGCGAGGGAGGAAGAGGGAGGCCAGCTGCTGTGGGGTCAGGGCCTTGGGAGCCACCAAGCCCTTTTGAAAGGGGGCCTTCCAGAGTAGTGCCTCCTTCCTTGTTTTCCTTCTCCTCCTCTGCTTCTTCTTCTTTCTCCTTCTCCTCTTCCTCTGTTCCTGACAATGCACTGTTCGTAGGTCTAAACGGCATTCGAATATCAAAACATCACTCTAGGTCGAGTGACAATTCATTGGTTAAAACGTACATATGTTGGGACATTCATACATAGAGGTTCTGCTGTACATTAAAAAAGGATCTCGAAACAAAAATTGTAAGATTAACCAACAAACCAAAAGATTTTTTTATCAGAAGATTTTCAAGTCATTTCAGGTTTACCAAGCAAAACTTTACTAAAACAAGTGTGCTGTTTTGGCTTCTTAACAGGTTTCCCACAAACCTGCCATGTGTAAAAAAAATATGCATACATATAATTGGTGAAATTGTTGCATTACCACCAGCAATGGTTTATATCATGTTTGGTAAATCTGTGGTTGGCAATTAAAAATGTCTTCTTTTCTAATGACACAGTATCCTGGTGAATGTTAGACATCTCAGAGGACTTAAATGAGCAGCTTATAGAGAAGTTGAGAGACAATGCTAGTATGTATAGCTGATGAAGCAACTGATGCATGTTGAGATGGCCATCTAATTCCATATGTCTGATTTATTGATGGTGATATTGTGAGAGAAGTTCTCTTTTTGTGAGCCTTTTTATTTACAAATACGTTTGATACTTAAAAAAAAGAAATGGTATATCATGGGAGATGTGATAGCATATATGTACATATATAGATGAACTTGTGTAATGTCTGAAATGCACACTGGAGTTAAAGCAAATATTAAAGCAGAAGCTCCTGAAGCCAAGTGGACACATTGCATGATAAATTGAAAGGCACTGGCATCTAAAGAGCTACGCTCACCTGAATGAAGTGTTACAGGCAGTTTTCACAACTAAGTGCCATCAAAGCGCAACCACTAGACTCACAAATGTTTAAGGTGTTGTGTGAAGATATGAGTTCAGAGCATATCATCTTACTTCTTCACTCTGAAGCCCGATAATTGTCCAGAGGCAAAATGTTGAACAGAATTTTTGAGCTGAGACATGACATATTCTGCTGTTTGCTCGAGCAAAATCATCTAGTGTCAGAGCTTTACGGAAACAGATTTCCTTTAGAAAATGGCATATCTTGGAGATATGTTTGAAAAATGTCAGGTCAGGCAGGTGTTTTGTTTTTTGTTTAACTGCAGCTTTGGTCAAATAATTTGTAAAGTAACGATTTGGAAATATTTCCTACTCTTGTCAACATATTTGAAGAAACAAACATTCAAGTAATTCTCCCATAGATGGAAAAGTATTTGATTAATTATCTAGTCACATTACAAAAACATTTTTAAAACTTTTTTTAAAAAAACTTTGAAACATTGGGCTGGGTAAAACTTCTATTTGAAAATATACCACAGCCAAGATCATTAAACACAAACATTTTATTAATCTGTAGACTGATGCTTCTTTAAAAAAAAAACTTAAAGAGAGATCTTTGCCAGACATCTGGGTTCTTCTTAGATAAGAATATCCAACATTAAGTGAAAAGGCCACGGAAGTGCTCATACTGTTTGCAATGGCCTACTTTTGTGAAACTGGATTCTCAGCTCTAGCAGCTTATCGAGAGTAAATATCATGCAAGACTTGATGTCACCAAAGAACTGAGAGCTCTAATATTACTCCATGGTTTAGCAACTTTGAAATTAGAAAGAAGCACATACATCACATTAAGTGTTCATATGATTTATACCAAAAAACATTAAGCAATTGTGTAGGGTTAGATATTGAATATTTTCCTTAAAAAACTGGTTTATTTGAATGATGCTATTTCCTTACAAAATGTTGAAATATGAATATACTTAAATGTGCAAACAAATATATGCACACAAAACAAACAAATTATTCTTATCCATAAATTACATTAAACAGGGGGCATCAGCATTTGCATTGATTTATAGAAAGGGTCACAGGAGAGAAAATCTGAGAGCCACTGCCATAGTAAATTTCAAAGTTATTGCATGCAACCAATGTCTAAATTGTGCTCCTTTTCTTTAGATACTGAAAGAGATAAGGAACTCTGCTTTTAAAATCCCAAAGTGCTTGTTGATTCTTGCTCGCTTTCATTTTTTGTAATTTTTAAATATAGATTGCAAGTAAGTCTGTCACTTGGAATCAAGGAAGTCTCTGAACATCCTTTTTCAGCTCCAGTCATTTAACCACCTCTTAGGAGCTCTTTACCCACAGGAGATGTCAGCATAACTCTGACTTCCATCTAGTTGCTATTTGCTAATGTGTGTGCAGATTGCTTGGTACACTGAAGGAGATTACAGTTTGATGCTCCAATTTTGCACTCCATTAAAAAAATCATGCAGATGGGACAACTTGCTTAATGCAATTTATTCTGGTTGCCTGGAATTACCATGGCATTCAGAATGCCTTGTCAGGGTTTTTTTTTTAAAAAAAAAATCAGTTCAATGTAATTCTGGCCCCTTCTACATTGCCTTATAATTCAGAATATCAAAGCAGATAATCCACATTATTTGTTTTGAAATGAATTATATGAGTCTGCTACACCATATAATCTAGTTCAAAACAGATAATCTGGATTTTATTTGGCAGCGTAGAAGGGGCCATAGAAACCAAAACCGACATGGAAAAAATCATACTATTATAGTGTGTCCCATAGTACCAACATTGTCTGAATTCATATTATACTCCAAACTATGGTCTGGAGGATTACAATGAGCCATAGGTTTAAGTGCTCCCATCTCCCCTGCCATCTTTCCTTCCCTTTTATGCACAACTTCATCTATACTATATATTTATTTTCTAATTTAGAAGTAATGATTTAGTATGGTTTGGTCAAAAGAGGAAGTTGTAGATTAAGGTACACACACATGCAAGAGAATGAACATAGGGGGAGAAAGGAGTACCCAAGATTCTGGCGCATTCTGGGTTCTCAGTTTTTATACCATATACATTTAGAAGAATTCCGGAAGACACAAATGTTTTTGTGCCTTTTCTCACATGCTTTATTGTATCAAAATGGAAAAAAAATGATACAGTTCAAAACAGAAATTGTGCATTATCTGCCTTGATATTCTGGGTTATATGGCTATGTGGGAGGGCCCTAAGACCACTTCTACACTGCCATATAAAATCCAGATTATCTGCTTTGAACTGGTTTATATGAGTCTACGCTACTATATAATCCAGTTCAAGGCAGATAATACGGATCTTATATGGCAGTATAGACTCATATAATCCAGTTTAAAGCAGAGAATGTGGATTATCTGCTTTGATAATCTGGATTATCTACTTTGATAATCTGGATTATATGGCATTGTAGAAGGGGACGGAGGGCCCTTCCACACAGACATATAACCCAGAATATCAAGGCAGAAAATCCCACAATATCAGCCATACACTGCCATAAATTCCAATTCAAAGCAGATAATGTGGGATTTTATTCACCTGTGTGAAAGGGGCCTAAGTGAACATGGGAGTGGCAATGGAAAAACCCTTCTGAACCAACATTACCAAATTACCTATGGCTGGATTTACGTGGCCATATAATCCAGATTATCAAAGTAGATAATCCAGATTATCTGTTTTGGATTGGATTATATGAGTCTACACTGCCATATAATCTAGTTCAAAGCAGTCATCCAGATTTTATATGGCAGTGGGTCACCATAAATTGAAAATGACTAAAAGCATACAACAGCAGCAACAACACATTATGCAAGGAAAAATCAGCAGGATATTTCACATATGGTAAATGGTTTGAATAGAGTTTAAAGTAATAGAAATGGTATTTCTTGCATGGAAAGCTGGAGTGTCTTCAATTTATACTAATTAAAGCTATCCAGTTTAGAGTTTACAATGAATTAAGGTGTTTGATTTATATTGAGCTTATTTAGTGTCATTTATAAATCTTGGAAAACATTTCATAGAATAAAAGATGGCTGATTTGAAACTGTTAATGTTTCTAAAGCAGGTCTGTGAGTTCTAGAAGACTGAGTTGTCTTTAGTAATGAATTGCATCCTATTATTCAGCACTCTAATAGTCTCCAGGAACAACATTTATTAAGTTATTAGGTTCTTTGAGCATGGTTCTCAAAGGCTTGAAGGAATATTACTTTCCTTTTAAAACTCATAGTTACTCTGATATGTATCCTGTTCATTTTGATGGAACTTCCACATAAAAGGTGTAGAATTGGATTCTGGATGCCAGTGGTAGGGACACCTAAATAATATGCATGATGGGAAGGGAACATGTGTGTAACTGATTCATCATCATCATCATCATCAATAATAATAATAATAGTTATTTATTCCCCGCTTTTTCTCTCCACAAGGAGACTCATATGTCAACTACTTTATGTATACATAGATTAATCTGCAGATATAAACCAACTACAAAAGGCAAGGCTCAATTTGTTTTCTTTTCCCCAGGTTTTATAGATGATCCAAAACCCATAAGAAAATGGGACTGCTGGTGTTCATGCGTAATGTGCTACTAGCCCTCTGTCTCTTTCTGGTGTTGGGATTTCTCTATTATTCAGCTTGGAAACTGCATCTTCTCCAATGGGAGGATTCGAGTAAGTATACTTGATGTGCAGGTTATCTCAGTATCCATGGACAAGACTGAACAATTTCTTTATTTTTCAGTTCTGCATATGGTTGAACAGCCTGGAATGAACTGCTTCACATGTTGAGTCCTTCAATGAGCTGTAGAGATAAATTCACCTTTGTCTTAATATTCTTGTAATATAGATTCATTAAATGGAACATTAGAAAATAAACGGTAGGTTTTCTACCTTTGCTTAAACAGGTGTATTTTCATTCACAGGATTGTCATTTGCATCTACCTGTTGAATGAGACTTCAAGAGTCATGTCATGTGGATCTACTTGCTTTCTTCATATAAGGGAGAGAGTGTTTTTGCCATCCTACTCTTTTGTCTTTCATTAGTTTTTGGCATATATCTGTATAGGCACTTGTCTGGGGGATAGCTTTACATTAGCTGTATAATTGACCAGAGTGATATTCATTATGTGGTTTTCACTGAGTTCATTGCATACAAATTCAATTTGAGCTGGAGGAATCAAACTTACAGACGGATGCAGGCATTGTTTCAATATTTGCACAGAGTCTTCAGTGCCAAGTCTGTATTTCCTTTTCCGTTAAGGTTATGTCTACAGAGGGACAAGTTCAAAGGGAGTTTCTTATCTAGGTATTTAAATGAGGGAAAACAATTTGCTTTTCCAGAGTTGTATTTCGTTAAAAAAACATGATTAAATTCAGGATGTGAGTGACTGAGGTCTACAGTTTGTGAAGAATAATGTAGGTTAAAAGCCTTATCATTTCCTTTAACTTTCTGAATTTTTCCTTTTTCTCCTTGCCTTGGAATATTTACTATCTTGTTTCTGTATGGTGAATTGGTAAAATTGATGTCTCAAAGTCTTTTTCCCATGAGTGTTTCTGCTGTTTGAATGAGATCTATTTTACAATTTGGTTATTATTTGTGCAAATTGTTTTAATTTTGGTAGTGATTCATCTGGCTGGAGAGAACAAGTCAACATATAAATTTCACATACATTTGTCAAGATGGGCTTTCTACTTCCTGTTGTATCATCTTTCAACATCTTTTTTCCTGGCAAGCATAAAATGATACAAAACAATGGATTCCCAGAATCGCAACAAACACAAATCCACTACGAGTCGTAGTACATAAATCACAAAGGTAAATTTTTTTTGCAGCTTATATGATACAATATTAAACGTATAACCAACTTATATAATACAGCATTGAGCGATATACAAGGAACAAAAAACTTTTATTTATACAGTGATTTTACATCAGTCACAAAAGTAAAGTCTTTCTTGCTCTACGTGAATATCCTCTTACAAGGGACTGGAAGCTCCACTCAATAGTATCTTTAGAGAAAGTAAGGGATCTTATGCCCTTAAGAGAAGTCTGCTTTACAGCAAGAAAGACTCTACTTTTGTGACTGATGTAAAATCACTGTATAAATAACAGTTTTTGTTCCTTGTATATCTCTCAATGCTGTATTATATAAGTTGGCTATATGTTTAATATTATATCATATAAGCTGCAAAAAAACATTTACCTTTGTGATTTATGTACTACGACTTGAAGCAGTAAAATAATTACAGAACTTTTATAGTTTGCTCCCAAACTTTTATATATTGATGTCTCAACTTGATTCATTAACATCTACAATAGATTTTTTTGTGGCAGTGTAGGAAGGTCTGACATTGCCTTGATATTGACTGATTTAGCTTATTTGTTTTCGTTTGTGTTATGTTTACTAGATTTTACAATTTCTCATACATCACCTTTTTAATGACTGGAGATGTCAAACATGTTGTTACTACTTTTTCAGGAGAATTAAACCTGTGTGTGTGTATCAAATAGGTCTTGAGATTTCCTGAGGAATGCTCTGAATTTGAAGCACACCAAAGAAGTACTGTAGTCTGTTGTGTTTTTACTAGACATAATATCTGACTTATTTATGTTAGGATGGCTTCCTACCTGAGTGGTTCTAAGATTGCAATTTGAGCTTAATTTACATTTGGTAATAAATGCTAAAACTACAATGAGACCCACTTGAGGGTGAAATATGGAAGTATAAATCGTGTACTAACTGATGAATATTCAGATGGGAGAGCATGGGAGCTCTAATGGCAAATGAGTCATTTGACTCCTCTGGTGTTATCTTTGCATTCAAATTTGAGTTACTGGTTTTATTTATTAAATAAGTAGGATTCTCATATATTCCTTGGTGAATGGACACAACCCAGCAACAGTTAAGCACATTGAAGATTTAATAATGTCAGTTGGAGATAAAATCACAGTTAATCTGCCCTTACTTTGGAAGGGTCATGCACTTTTGCATGTGTGTATATATCATATATGCCAACTTAGCTTAGTATGTCATACATTTGATGACCTCTAGTCCAAAAAAGCATACATTCTCAGCTTGTTTGTCTTTAACATGTCAAAATACACGTTATGATTTTTATATAGGCTTTCCTCTTGTCTGCAACTTGGTGTTTTGTTTGTCAGCAATATTAAATCCTCCTTGACCGATTACCTCTCATTTGAGCTCCACCTTTTAAAACAGTAATAGAAGTGCAGAGTTTGCTAGTTACCGTAGATGATGAAGATGCAGAGTGCAGAGGATCTTGATGTCACTCTTTGAAAAACCCAGATGAAATAAATAGAATAAAAGCAGCTGTGTTGAATTTTGTATTGAAAGATGAAATTTATTTATTAACTAGCCGTCCCCTGCCACGTGTTGCTGTGGCCCAGTCTGTGTATATATATTGTGTGTGTGTATATATTTGTGTATAAGTGCATATATGTATGTTTGCGTTTATATATGTGGTTTTGCACATGCGTTGTAATGTATTTTTACTTTTTAGCCTTCTAAGTGTCTTCTGCTGTGTTTTTCAGTGTTTTTATGAGTGACGGTCACTTGTTGGGCTGATAGGTGTCTTGTGTCCAAATTTGGTGTCAGTTCATCCAGTGGTTTTTGAGTTATGTTAATCCCACAAACGAACATTACATTTTTATTTATATAGATTTATTTTCATTTGATTTAATTTATATACCACCTTCCTCCCTAAGTGTGACCAAAAACAACTTACAATGTATGTTGAAAGAGTTAAAACAATACATATTAAAGGAGTAAACAATTAGTCCAATTAAAATGTTACTTTTAATATTAATTTTTTACAATAATTAACTCCTGAAACACATTCTATATATTAAAATAGAACAGTTATGGCACATACTTCTGCTCCAGTCTGATTAAAGATTGAAGCTTTGTTTAAAAGGTCATAGCCTCAAAGCAGCCAGTGAGAAAGCTCTCTATGTGCAGAGGGTGATTGTTTCCTTCGGATGGCTTATTTACAAGTCCCTGACTCCTTTCTTCCTCTCCCCTTGTCTCTTTCTCCCCTGTCAACATGGAACCATTGAGAAGGATATTTTAGTATGTTTCTTAACAATGGTTACAGTTTGATGTAACAGTCAATGATATAAAGTAAATAAATATTAACGTTATTTTTATTTTCTCTAAAGTTTCAACTATTTCAGTGAACTGGTCCATCTAGCTGTTTGCTGCCTCTGGCAGCAGATCATCATGACTTAAGTAAAACAAGTCTTTTTCTGAATGTGGGGCTTTCTATATGTCATGTACTCACTCTTCCAGTTAACTGTGGGTGCTTGGTTCTTCAGATCTCATCAGTTGCTTTAACACGGGATGGTTTGTCTGATGTTTGTTTTTCAAAAGGAGCAGCTGAAGAATGTGGTTGAGTAGACATATGTAATGCCTTTGGCTGACACTGCTTTGACTTGACACCTACCAGTAAATATCATCAGACGAGGACATCTGTTCATTCCTAGTATCTATCATAGAATATCTTTGCTAGATTCCCTTTACCTTCAACTTTTTAGCAAGCATAGATCAGTCTCCCAACAAACCGTTGCTTTGAAAATGTAAGTAGCTTTTGAAACTGTTCAGCAGTCAAATTTAGACCTATACTTGCTTCCTGCTGCTGAAACAGGCACATTCTTACTCATTTCTTCCTGCTACCGCCAGTGTCTTTCCTCCAACGATTGTATTGTAAAAATAGTCTGAGGCAGAAAAGTACTCATTGCAACATATTATTTTTTTCCAGAATGCCTGTTTCTATGGAAACAAAAATGAGATGCATGAGCAAATAATTTGACTTTCACTGCCATTGGTGGTAGATTCTGGTTTTGTTTCCATTTTTGTGATACAAAGCCTTTATTCTTATACGAAGGGAGTCTAAACTGAAGTTCTTGAAAAAAATACCTTTCTAGCTTAGTCCAAATTCCTCAGGGATTGTTCCATTTATCCAGGACTATTGAGGGGACCATCATACTTTCAGCATTTTCCTGCATCGTTTCCTTTAGTTCTTTCTAAGGTTTCATCTTTTTCTAGCACATAGGTTACCAGTTAAGTTTCTTGGCCCCATCGGAAAGTTGTCTCTTTTTTTCTATTGTAATCTATAATATATTTAAACCATTGGAAGTAAAAATACTTTATATTAACAGAAGAGTAAATACCTCTGCTATGATCAGAAGGTCAAGCATAGCTGATAACATTAATTTATTTATTATGGTGTATTATTATGCCATTCTGGATTTGGATACAAATTAGATTAAGGAACCTAGGAAGGGAGATGGTAAACAGCAGCTGTGATGCCTCCCACTCCAATATTTGCAGTTCCAAAGAGACAGGTGGGATATGAAGTTTGCCAAACTATTTTTGGGTTTGGTTTGATTGAACCCATGTTTTGATAGTCAGCACTAGAGTTCTTTGTTTGTAGTTTGATTTTATAGTATTAGGTGTGACTTTGTTCACTAGCATATGGAGTGTTGTAATCCCTCATAATTAGAGTAGATATTCAAATGACGTGTTCCAGATTGCATGTAACAGAATATGTAAATTTTACTATTTGTCAAAGCTTCTTAACATTTTTTTTCTATTACAAATCTGGACCAGGCTGGTACATTAATATTATTTCGATCAGGTACAGTCTGTTTT